CTGGCTTCCTGCTGAGTCACTTAGCCAAACCTCTAGACTCCCCAAGTTGACACAATGTTTCAACCATAACAGCCCTGTTCAGTGCAAAGGGCAGGTTAAGAGACGTGTGGCATTTCCTGATCAGTCTCTCACCACTTAGCCATGCTCTTGATGGCCTGTGATTGGTGAAAGTCTGACACTGTGAGGACATCCTGGCACCACTGTCTGCCAACACCAGATACGAGGGCTGGCTGTGTCCTGGATCCTTCTGGTGACTGTGGAGATAAATGTTGATTGTTCTTCCTGCTTGAAAAATGCTGTGGTATTTTATCTGTCCCATGTAATTGAAACAACTGTATTGCTCCTTTACTAGAAAACAGCACCGCGCAAGTAACCTCCACAGGAAGCCTTGTGTTCCAGAACTTTGAGGAGACCATGAGTGGCGTTTACACTTGTTTCCTGGAGTATAAACCTAACGTGGAGGAACCTACTAAAAACATTCAGCTGAAATATATTGTCTATGGTAAGAGGTGAATTTGTGTTGTAATTTTGCATAGTTTTGAAACACTTACATATTGTTACAGTTATATTTGATATATGATTTTTCTCTTTTTCATCTCTTTTAATTAATTAAAAAATTACTGCTGGTCTGTGTTTTAATTTGTGCATTTTAACAGCAAAGTCCCAGGGGCCCACTGGAAACTTAGCATCCAGTGTTCACTAGGACCCTGCCCAGGCACCAGAGTGTGCCTGCAAGCACAGAAAATCCTCCTGCATGGAGGTTCGGGTGTTCCGTGTCCCAGGTGCACACAGCTGCCATCATGAGGGGAAGCGTGCTTTCCTGCAGGGAGAGCTTTGCCGGCAGCCTCTGGCCTGCTGATACCTCTTTTGTGCATGTACACTGTTGTGTGGTCTGTGTGCGCTTGTGCGGGACATCTGGGGAGGCTCTTTGGAACGGCACTTGAGAGCACTTGAGGGTGTTTTGACTCAAATTCAGACTTCCCTGTAGCTCAGGTTATAGCTCGATATGGGAAAGATTTCTGGAGAGAAAAGCTGCTGGTGTTGTCTACAGGCCGAGAGGCACCTGCTCTATCCACACTGCTTCCCTGAGCCTCGGGCGTTTCCAGCACTGATGCCCCTGGCCCGGGTATTCTGCATGCATTTGTATATATCACATGTTTTTCATGGTATAAACCATGATACATGTATATGTATGCAGACAACAAAGACATACATTTACTCATTACATGCTATAGAAGAGTCAGTAAAAGTGTCATGTATCTATAAGATTTGCATCTGGATTTGACATTTATTTTCAATATTCTTGCTCACTACTTAATAGGCCTTTTTGGTATGGTCACACAAATCTTTTTTCAGCTTGCACAATACTTTTCCTGTTTGTCCCTTGATTAACTTCTTTTGTGTTGACTCTGTTCTGTTCTGGAAATCTTTTGTTATCGGCTAAGATCTCTGTTCCTTATGTTGTTCTTATTGTTTTATTTTGTTTCTAATTTTAGTATATTCTATGTGAGAATTTTATGATGTGTTGTAGAAGGTTATGATTAAATTTTTGCCTTTTATGATTTCAGTTAGCTTTTTTAATTTCAGTATTTTATATGTTTTAGTTTTTCAAGAATAACTATTTGTTGATCATTTCTCTTTGACAGTAGCTTCATAATAATTCATGTGTTTTTTTTCTTTACTGTTTAGAGTTTTAAAAAGTTATTAATCCCTCCTCCATTAAGTGTCTTTTAGGCTTCTTTCTCTTGGTTTGTTATTTTTTACTTCCATGGTCTTGGATTTCCCCAAAGGTGTGGCAGGGGAGTCCAGTTTCCATTTCTGTTTGCA